GGGGTTAGGGGTGAGAGCGGGCGAAATTAAAGTCCCACGAAAATTAAAGCCGCGAAATTTAATTAGTGACCTATCTAAAAACCTCAGTGTCTGCTTGGAGTCGAGTATACATACGAGTATGATGGTTCAAATTTCAGTTCAACGCATGTCCAATATTGCTCATCATCTGACTCATCTTGCGGAATTTAGTTCCTTTAACACTTCCTCTGTACAGTCTTCAAATTTGCCATTAAAATATATCCTTCAAAAAGCGCAGATATGTTTACAACTTGGAATTCGGCCGAAGTTCAGAAACAAATGGAGTCGGGAAACAGCACTGATAAGATTGAGGCTATCTGTGCTGAAGGACCTGAAGTCCTTACATGCCACCTGGCTGGTGAGCCCCACTTGGCAGGCAGTGTGGGAAAGCGGAACATTGCAAAAGGATGGAGCAAAGCGGGAATACCCGAACTTTTTCAAGGGAAGACAACCTTATCACCTGAAGATCCATTTGAAAACATTGCGGCGATCATTATCTAAAAGCTAATTGGCAGCGCCATCGAGTTTATAATTGAGCATTTCAGCCAGTTGCTTGTTGCGTTTCTATTCCGTTATGGTTGAATGAAATGCAGAAATGGAAATTCAAAAAACGAGCCAGTGACGAGCATCAGTGTACTTGATTCGCGAAATTTAATTACCTTGTAAAACAGTGATTGGTCAAAATCGCGAAACTTAAGTCCTGCGAAATATTTTATTCGAGCGACGAAGTCCCGCGCCATATGAAATCCGACGAAGGACTTTTTTGAAAGTCTAAGGCTTCAACTGTCTTACACACAGTCTTCATCAGCGAACTGACAATTTTCAAAGTGGTCAGGTGATAAACTCGTAATGGGTGACTTGACATCAAGGGAGAAAAAATAGCGGGTCTAGTTCACAGTCCTCGATTGGGCAACGGCGTCTGCTGATCAACTGTTGATTTGCTATTGCGGTGACGTAACGTAGACGAAACGCGTGACCCGAAACGCATCGGCCGCGCATAATAATGAGGCCTACGGACTAGGCAAGATTTGCTACACCAGGATATCAGACGTCACCATCCACAGCACGTTGATCACGTAATAACGTGACAATTCAGTTTGCTGGAGAATACCGAGTGGGACAGTCAAAACTTTTTTTGATTGTTTTAAAAAATTTGAGACCTTACGAAAAGCGTTTTTTGTTTTAAAATTTAACATGTTTGTAACGAAGCTTAAGCCAAAGTTATTTCAGCTACATTTCTATTTCAGAATGAACTTTTTCTGAAATTTAAACGGAACTTACAAAGGGAGCTTTGAAGTGTAACTGACAGAGAGTGCTTCCTGAATGCATTGAATGATAGTCTTTTGTGGGTTAGGTCATGGAAACTTGGCAACTGAGCCCAACAAGGTCAAGCAGAAATCTTCTGGTTGGTCAGTTAAAATAAACTGCTACGTGTTGTTATGAATAACAAGGCTAAAGATTCTAGGAATCGACTAACAATAGAATCCAAGGGTGTGTTTCACAAATTGCTCTCTGCAAGGCATACAAGGCATAGTTTGCTTTGTATTTAATTTTGCGATGGAATCTCTCCTAAAAAACCTCCAAAAACATGTTGAATGTTCGATTTGCTTGGATAATTTTAAGGAGCCAAAAACCATAGCGTGTCTTCACACCTTCTGCTGTGAGTGTCTGAAGAAACATGCGCTTATGAGTCAGAGACATGGCCAGTTTCGCTGCCCCGAATGCCAGACACAAATTCCCATCCCCGAAGGAAACTTATTCGATGAGTTACCGACCAGTTTTCTTCATAACAGCTTGCTAAGTCTTCTTACTGTTCAACAAAGTGACGATAGAGGTGAGATAAGTTGCGGACTTTGCAAGAAAAAGAGCGCTGAAGCAAGCTATTGTTTCGACTGCGAGAAGTTCCTGTGTGGCACTTGTGTAAACGCTCACGAGCTGTTTAGAGATGCCGCGTTCGCAGGACACAAGGTGACCAAAGTCAAACAGTTTCAAGCAGAAGATTACGAAGCCTTGTTAAAGCGAAAGGCGTTCTGCACTAAAAAGTACCACGATAAAGAAGTAACCAGATTTTACTGTCGCGTCTGCCAAACTTGTATTTGCCAAATATGTTTTAATATGAATCACAAGACTCATGAAATTGAGCTGCTAGAAACTGCAGCGGATGAAGAAAGAGCTAAAATTTTGGCGGGAGTTGAGTCGATGAAGCAAAAGCACCAAACATGCAGAGACATTATCCGTCGATTAGAGGAGACAGCCGCCAATCTTGAAGCTAATATCACAATCGCTAAACGCCAAGTGTCTCAATCAGCCGAGCAAATAATGGCTTTGATTCGCGAACGCGAGCGCGAGGCAATTACCACGCTCGAGAACATACGCGTGTCTCGAATACAGGAACTGGATGCCGTAAAGAAACAAGTTCAACAGCTAGAAAAACAGATCAAACAAGCGGCAGAGTTTGCAAGTGAAGTAGCTCAGAGAAGCTCGAGTGCAGACATAATAGGAAACAGAAAGAATTTACAGGAAAGATTTGAAGAGCTTCGCAAAACTGAAATGCCCGACTTGCCTGCTGGTTCGTTTGTAAAGTTCGTGTCAACTTGTAAGCTAGATACTTTGAGTCTCGGCATAATAAAATCAACAGAGACTGACCCAAAAAAATCAACAATTGAAGGACTGAAACAAACTTTTCAAGCTGGCGTTGAAGCAGAGATATCGATTTGCCCAAAGACAAGCGAAGGACAGATCAGTAACAAACAATATGACGATGACGTTGAGGTTCAAGTGGAACCTGCTGACCAACTAGCAAGTTTGATCATCAACGAAGGGAACGATGAAGCGGGCGGAAATTTCCAAGTGAAATTTGTTCCTAAACTGCCGGGTGTCTACCACATCTCAGCAAAGGTAAACGGCGACAACCTTGCTCAGAGTCCCTCTAATATCGAGGTACAGGAACGAAAGCTTGAAGTTGTAGGCGAGCTGCAAAGTGACACTACGATTAAGCCAGCCGGCATTGCTGTGAACTCAATGGGAATGATCGCCGTAGCGAACCAAGATAAGCACTGTATTTTTATATTTGATAAAGAAGGAAAGTTTTTGAGACAGTTGGGCTGGTATGGAGAGAATCCTGGAGAGCTAAACACACCAGGTGATGTGACATTAGTGAACGAAGATGAGATTTTAGTGATAGACGTGCGTAATAACCGAATACAGCAATTTAATGTGCACTCAGGGAACTTCATAAACAGCTTTGGACGATTTGGGTACGGATTTGGACAGTTTAACGCTCCAAGGAGTGTTTGTATGGATTGTAAAGGACACATCATTGTAGCTGATTACAACCACCGAGTTCAAGTGTTAACGAAGGATGGTGTCCCTATATTGAAATTTGGAGACAGAGGTCCAGAAAAACTGCACTTTCCTGTAGGCTGCGCCTATTACAAGGACATGTTTGTAGTTGCTGACAGCGGGAATGGCTGTTTAAAGGTGTTTGACTCTTCAGGGAGGTTTCTACGCAAGATTGGTGAGAAAGGCAATGAAGACGGACAGTTTACAAACCCGTGGAGATTGTATATTGACATACATGGAAATATCTTGGTCGGTGACAAAGACTGTGGTCACGTGCAACAATTCACTATGGAAGGTCGCTTCACTGGGAGAGCTGTTACTAAACTAAATTGGCCAAGTGGTATAGCACAAATGCCGGATGGTCGCATTTTAATTTCCGATTTCGAAGCAGGAAAGGTTTTTTTCCTTAAATAGAACTGTTTTCGAATTAAGAGGCCCTGGACATAAGAAACGTCCGATTATTTCCGGCTAACAAATGATAATATCAGTCAATTTTGATCTGTTAGGTTAAGGCTGCCAAACGTTAATTTAAAACATAATATCGTGGGTGACAAATTTATCCTAAATTTTGGCTCGAAATTTCAGCGATAATTAGTAATTTCAAGTGTGCAATAACGTTCCGTACGTGGCGTCAAAGTTTTAAAATGTTATGAAATTCAATGAAGTGCAGCCAACTCTCTCTTATAGGACACCTCTATCAGACAGACACTTCTCTAGCTAAGATAGCCTGTTCCAGGCTCCGAGATAGTGGTGAAAACTCGTTCAGTAAAAAGAAATGCGAAAAACGCGCGGAAAAATATTTCACTCGTTCGCTGCGCTCACTCGTGAAGTATTTTTCAACACTCACTGGAAAGGTTATTTTCTTAAAGTAAGGCTCTTTTTTAATATTGAAAACACCCAGTTTTAAGTTTAGGATCTGTTGCGAAAGAGCTTTAGAATTTTTCTCAACCTATGTTGACATTCAAGTCTATCAATTTTGTTGTTTAATAGGTTCATTAGAAAAGCTCGTTATACTCAGTTGAAGTAAGTGATCAGACCCGATCACGGTGATATACTAGGTGTATCAAATCAAAGGGTGGCCATTAAAAAACAAAATGGTTAAAAATTCTGGAAACTGTTATGAAACAACAAAATCTTTCATGTAAAGAATCACAAATGGAAGTCTGGAAATTCAGTTCTGAGGGGGGTGAATAGGCCAACGGATCGGCAGGTTTTGAAAATAGTTTCGCCTGGATTTCGAATTCAGAGCGAAATTTTAACGAATTTAAAGAACCCGGGCAATGGCAGCGGATTGCGGACTCATCCATTTTTGGGGCCCGGATTTTGGACTTTGCATTTCTTGGGAAGAGAGTTTATAATCTCGTTGCGCTTGCGCGTGGACTTAGCCAGGTGCAAAATTGGTTGCCCTATGCATGAACATTGTTGTTATACCACTTAAATAAATGAATAAAAAGAGCCTCTGTATGATGAACATTATCGAGCATTTTAGTGATTTTAGTGACTTTTTTTGGGAGAGNAGTTTAGGATCTGTTGCGAAAGAACTTTAGAATTTTTCTCAACCTATGTTGACATTCAAGTCTATCAATTTTGTTGTTTAATAGGTTCATTAGAAAAGCTCGTTATACTCAGTTGAAGTAAGTGATCAGACCCGATCACGGTGATATACTAGGTGTATCAAATCAAAGGGTGGCCATTAAAAAACAAAATGGTTAAAAATTCTGGAAACTGTTATGAAACAACAAAATCTTTCATGTAAAGAATCACAAATGGAAGTCTGGAAATTCAGTTCTGAGGGGGGTGAATAGGCCAACGGATCGGCAGGTTTTGAAAATAGTTTCGCCTGGATTTCGAATTCAGAGCGAAATTTTAACGAATTTAAAGAACCCGGGCAATGGCAGCGGATTGCGGACTCATCCATTTTTGGGGCCCGGATTTTGGACTTTGCATTTCTTGGGAAGAGAGTTTATAATCTCGTTGCGCTTGCGCGTGGACTTAGCCAGGTGCAAAATTGGTTGCCCTATGCATGAACATTGTTGTTATACCACTTAAATAAATGAATAAAAAGAGCCTCTGTATGATGAACATTATCGAGCATTTTAGTGATTTTAGTGACTTTTTTTGGGAGAGACCAAGCTTTTTGATGGAAAAATGGAGCATTAAGGAAGAGCATTTTAGAGGGGATACAAATACATAATGAACAAAAGCCTGGTTAGATATCGTCTATCTCTCGCAAATACTACAAGCTCAGTTTAAATTTTGAAAAAAATCACAACTCCCTTTCCAGTTATTTTCTTTTTATTTTAATTGCACTTAAAATCTATTTATCGAAGGTCTATCTTTTGACAAAATGCAAAAATGCGGAGAACTAGGGCGAAAGAACAAAAATGGAAATGTTATGTACGATTAGGAATTTGTAACACCTCCTTGGTGAACTAGTACTTTTAACAGTAGTTAAGTTCAATACGGAGGTATATCCCTGTGTGAATAATGATACTCACTGGGATCTATAACAGAATGAGGGAATATCTTTTTCCTCTGTTAAGCCTCTTTTATTCACTCAGACAATGTTTCCAAGCCAAATGAGTTGATGGATTGACCTGGTGTTCTCAGATAAGGGAACAGAGGCAAGAGGGCCACTTTTCTAGCCCCTCAGGAAAAAGATTGTGTACAGATAACAAAACTAATGAATTCTCTGTTGTCAACCCTGAATGGGAATATCTTGCTCCACCCTTTGAGCACATCATCTTTGATGATGCCACAGTTGAAGAGAGACACTTTGTGAATGAGGATCAAAGCGTACAGGACATACGTGGTACTATGATAGGACTATTTTTAGCTTGTTTCATAAATCAAAGGAAATCTATCACCAACCGACCTCCGAGCTCTAGAAATGACCAACATCTAGTTTCTCCTTATATAATACACCGTTTTCTCAAACATAAAGGTTACAAGAATGGAATAAGGGCAATGGTCACTAGGGGGAAAATGGCATACACATTTTAAAAAAGCCCTTCAACAGTACAGTGAAATACAACCATATGATCACAACAGTCACACGATCACCTCCATATTTAGGCTTAGTCTCCAGCCCTGGCTGTCTCGATGTGCCCGCGGCACTCGCCACCCGACGGCTGGGTGCACGGGCTTGGCTATTGTTAAAATTGACCAACCAGAAGACAACCTGCAGAATTCTTTGGGCTGGCTTCTGGTTGGTCAATTGTAATGGGTGTGGGGAGTACCGCGGGCGCATCGAGACACGAATGCTGGAGACTGAGCCTACTCCTTATTAAGACCAAAGAAATTTTTTGTCCCAAGCCCAAACAATAGTCTAGTCATTTTCTTGTTGAACTAAGACCGGCATCTGCCATTACAAGAAACGACTGCCTTTTGAAATATTCCAATGGCTGCCTTTTTCACAATTTAGCCTTATTGAAATGACCGAGTAAAAGCCTGGTAATGTATTAAAGCATGAAGCAATGAATCGATAATCATAACTGTGACAAAATTCTCTTCACCTGATTAGCTATCAGCAGCCCTAATTCTAGGAATTCCAGAGTAACAGGACGGTAAGTGCCACGACCAAGGAATTGGTCATCATGCACTGGTACTTGATTTTTTTTTCTGGGAAAAAAAGCTCGGAAGATCTTGTGTTTTAATTTTAAAAAAGCTTAAATTATCACAAATTTGGTTATAGTTCCAATTAATAACTGTTAACAGGACTTCATGTTCTACCACCCATGCGGTCTGTGATCATCATCTAGATTAAACAAATTGGACTCTTTCTAAGCAGTCATCTGATTTTGTTAATCAATTATTGCATGACTGCGAACCAAATTGTATTCTACTCAGTCAAGATTACTACCATTATTTATCAGGAAGTCTTGTTAGCAAAGGTTGCTGATTAAAGTGTGTAAGCATTGAAGTGATAAGTGTGATTCCTAGAAGGTTACTTGTCAGAATCAAGTTCTTCTTGTCATTTCACAATGTTTTGGTTTGGCATTTTCCCATTTTTTTAGCCCAGGGCTGGTACAGCTATGTAGAGGGTTTCACTGTACCATATTATAAGAAGTACACATAGAAAAGGTTTGAGGATAACGGGAGTTGTTATAAGAGCTTTAAGGGTCAATGGTGAACTATGTACACCACAAGTGAACTTTTTTTAGAAAATATCCCATGCAAACAGCAGCCCATGCACTAGAAATTACAAATCTAATATTAACAATAATATTTTAAGTCAGCCTTCATGTTTAGGTGGAGTATACCATCCTAAAAATGAGAATAAAACAAAAAAGCCAAATAAATTAATTTATAACAACTGGTATCTGTCCCTGGCTACCATGTTGACAAGCTGTCAATCTACAAATGAACTGAACCGTGAAACACTAATGGTTGTTTAATAATTTGTTTGCTTGTGTGTTTGTTTGTTTTTTTTCATTTAAGAATTGTAGGGCTTGCAGGAAAGCATTTATTTTCTTTTAGTCCCTCTTGTTCTAGCTTTCTCAACAAATATGCATTGACATGCTTGCTACACAGGCTAGTAACACAGAGGCAGGTGTCAGGGTTTCAAGCAATGGGGGAAGAGAGGCAAGAAAAATAGGGATCTTGCTTCCTTCCCACCCAACCCCCTACCCCTTAGTAGATTTGATACTCTTCTCCGAGTTACACAAACAATTGATACCAAGATGGCCACCTCATACAGTAAGCACTTGATCTTGAAGATCTTACAGGAAAGTAGGGGACTAAACTGAGTATTCTCAGGGACAAACAAAAAGGTTCTTTTCATATGATTGTATACATACAAATTGAAGATCATTCTTACCATTTTTTTCATGGATCTGTACTAAAGACTTAAAAGATTGTTGGGCTCTTACAAGGCTGTAGACACCAGGCTGTTAAAGCAAAGTGAGGAAAAATATTATTAACTTAAAGAGGCGGTGTAACAAAATTTATCAAAATTCAAACTGCGGAAACTCCCACCAAATTGAGTGAAACATAAAAAGCAATGCTCAAAACATTAAAAGAAGGTATAAATTAATCAAGCCTTTAACCAGCAAATTTTTGGGGAAATTTTTTTCACTGCCACTGTCTTGTGAAAATATGCTCACGACTTCTATATTATAAATCCTAGGGTCATTAACTATAATTGTATCAAAATGTTTATCACGGAATGCTCTTTTAAATGAAGCAATAAAATTGTTAACATTTTACAAATTTCCAATTTCAAATCTCAGAGGGCACTTGACTTCCAAAGCTGCTTCATACTATCGAGTCAATCGCCATTACTAGTCATACAAACTTGTTTTCCTTTGCTGGGACATTTATCTTCAGAATTGCAAGTTTTGATCCATGTTGAAGGTCAGGTGAAGAGAATCACACTCAATGCAATTCCTTAAAGCTCCACAGATGACAAAAACTGGATCAAATTTTACAGTTAAAAAGTTCAGTAGACTTGATGCCAGCTACTGCCAAAATCCACTCGAAAGTCACAACAACTACTTCATGTAAAAAGCATTGAAGCAGCCCAGGCCAAATCACTGAACTGTAGAGAGTGATTACGCCAAGAGGGTCCTTCCGTACATATACACTGTATGTACGATTGCCAGTTAAAGGGTTACCACAGCAAATACAAAAGGAGGCACAGATGGACACTTTGAAGTACATTGAAACGGATTGCAATTTTTTATTGTGGTTTTTGAAAACAAGTTAGCCCAGCCCCTAGGGCCTGGAGTTTTAGCTATCCGGAATGACTTCAGAAATTATCTATATTTTCATGACATAATAATTTATGAGTTGATTTGTTGAAACTTAATATGAACAAAAAGACAATTGGCAGGGTTAAGTAAAATCAGAAATACACCTCACAGCTTAGAAGATAAAAATATTAAGAACAGGACACAGGGGTTTCAATAAGCACCGACGGCTGACGAAACGTGCCGGCTACTTTGCTCATAGAGGTCAGCTACTTTTTTCTAGAAAGAAGAAGCAACTAGTTTGAATAACGTTGTAAACTAAAAATATATCATAAAATTTGAATGAAAACGTACTTATGATGTGTTTTCATAAAGGTCCACTGGTTTTATGTTATACTTTAGTCATGTGAACGCTATCAAATTATTTCAGTTATTTTTTCACAAGTTTCTTTAGATGTTTATGCAGAATTTGTTTACGTGCAAAAGTATATACGTACGTAGTTTAGTTTTCATCATTTGTTTATTGCTTATACGAATTGATTGTGTGACTGATAAATTGAAACCTACATTTTCTTCAATGAAACACACGCTCTTTCGTCCTCAAATTTGGTTCATCGAACGCTGAAAATCGCATTTTAGGGTTTGAAATTTCACAATTTTCTGGGGCACAATGCCCCCCAGGCCCCCCTCCTGCCCTTAAAAAGGGGACTAACAGCCTCTGGTTGACACAGTCGCTTAATCTATTCAAACCTGGCGGCTACTTCAATGTTTATTAAAACCCCTGGGACACTATTCCTTAAGCAATGCTTATGGTGTTGCAAGTACAAAAAGCCCATTCACAAAGAGCTTACTATGCATGCAGTTGACTACTGGGCATACAGTATTACCTTTTTATTATCCTGGAAGTTAATCCTTGCTTTTCCTTTCACAAGTGTAGCAGCTATTTGCATGATAACAGCTTCTACTGTATAGGCACTGCTCCACCCCTACATGGTAAAAGTTAACACAAAACCTTAACAAAAGTGGTAAGGGTTATGAATAAGTATGACTACCTTTGAAAGGTATCTATTGAACCAAACATCCCTTTATCTCTTGAACTTGCCAAGAAACAGGCAATTGAAGATGATGAAATGAAATTGCATATCGAACAAGGTAGGCATGTTTAGATTGTTTTTAAACTATGAATATCATAATGTTATAATGAATATTATAACAGTTACTGGATATAGCTTTCGCATGATGTGAAAAATTATGGCGATCTCAGAGGGTGTTATCTGCCTCAGCCAAAACCCACCTCAATCTGCATTATTCTTTAGATCATACTCAGCCTCATTCAATTCAATAATTGATAATGAAAAAATAAGTGTTAAGCAATGTTGTGCCACTGTTCGAGGTGCATGTACCTGTTTTAGAAAACAGTCAGCCCTCGAGCAAGCTCTCTAGGGTCCTCTGGCAGATGGGTGGGAAAAGCAAGGAGAACTTGCAACTACGTCTTTGGAATTTGAATATCTGCATCGAAAAAGTTGATGCGAAAGAAATGCTGATTGACCAAGATGACATTAGTGATGACATCATTGCCCTTGGCACATGTTTTTCAATGTTTGTTTACATTCGTGCTGATTGGCAGAAATCTGACAGCTCAGTTGACAGGGAGCCAGAAGGGAATTGGAGGTGGAATTCAAATTCCAGAGACATACTTACCAGCTCTCCTTCCTTTTCCCACCCCACCACCACAGTGCCCCAGAGTGCTGGCTCTCAGGCTAGAAAACCATTGACAAACACCCCAACTTTTTAATTTGAATGAAGGGATGAAGGAAGGGTCCAGACTGTTTTGTCTCTGAAATGTACCTCATAATTACAAGAGAAACTCCTCCACAATTTTGTCGCTTTACACTGATTTTGATGATGTTAAGATTAATCATTGTCTTAATAGCCATAAGGGTGTCACACAGAAGAGTAAAATCCAGGTTAATGTAACTTGCATACCTGAGGCGTAAGAAGTTCCATGCAAAGTGCTCCTCCACTAAGAACATAACTAAAGAGGAAATAACAGTACATGTGTAATAATCTTGCATTATCATGTACTGAAGGGTACAAACTTGCATAAAAACAGGACAAATAAATAATGTGTGTTTTTAGGTGCTGTGGAAAATTATCTATTTAGTTAGCACCTGTGTTGTCCAGAGTACAAAGAAAGTCAGTTTTACAGCTTGCCGTTCACATTGGTTGTTGGCATGTAGGAAATTTGCCACCATAACAATGGCATATGTATGTACATTAACTTAATTGATGTGGCACATACACACTACACTGATAAACATAATAAATGTCAATAATAAGTTTCAGCATGGCATTCAGCACTTCCTTTTTGTTTTTCTTTTTACTTTTCTCTTGACGTCAAAGGCTACTTACCCAGCAGTTAAAACTGGATAAATGACTCTGACAAAAGGAGGATCAAATGGAAATTTGTCCTGAAATAAGGAAACACAAGAATGATCATTGTAAAAACATATCACAATAACTTCAAAGATTTTCAATGAATTTGGACTAGGGAAAACATGTTTGAAGGGAGCTGGGGAACGTGTTCTACCATTCACCAGTGATTTTCACCATTAGTGATATTCCTGGAATTTTACTAAATGCACCTCTAGGAGCAAAGATTATTCAATGATGTTACTCACTGTAAATGTCATATTTAGTAAGACATGATCTGTTTCTTCCTGTGCTTTTAACTGCATCAGATCTTTGTGTAAAGTACTATCAGGGTCAACTCTACAGGAAATAAATGCACATCATAGATTTTAGACATAGTATTATCTAAGACATCAAACAAATATGTGCCATTCATGACTGTTATAAATATAGGTATCTCAAAATCAAGGAACAAAGGATGCTTCAGAAGGCCTGCAAATATTAACTGAGTGTGTTAACTGTTGTATCTGAACTATGTGGAACTATGTGTTGTTGTTGTTTGTTTGCCTGTATTACAGGCACAGTGATCTACAATGTACAGTTAAAACACAATGGCCTATGAAGTCTGAGAAAACCTGAAACTCAACTGCAGTCCAACACGGTAACCAGAGCCACCTCAAAGGGTAAAATACAATGTACACATTTTACACACCTGATAATCTTTATTGTCCAGTCATATAAATTATCATTGTTGAGAGAGACAGAGTATGTCCCTAAAGAGAAAAGTTCAGCACTTAGTTTATTGATTCTTGCCATGGTGGATCACCACCCTGACAGGGGATAAAATCGGACTTGTGTCCCTTACTGATACAAGGCAGGAAAAAAATATTTGAAATCCACTTCCCAAGTGGGAAAATAAATTTCAGTTTTCATTTGCCACCACTTTATAATATAATAAATTTAATATAATAAGTTATATAACAATTTAGAGTATCAGATTAAATGCTGTGACAGATACAGATTAACTATAGGATTTGACCAATATGATGACTGGAGGAATAACATGAGTAAGCAAACATGCACTTGCATTTTAAATGGATTCATGCTTTCAACTAATATTATTTGAATATATTGTGTCACTCAAATGATCTTGTAGCATTCAGTTTTGAAATAATCTCTGTCTGGAAATTATCATTTACCAACACTGACACGTACATTCAGACAGGCTCATGGGACCACTGATGCTAATTTCACTTGTCCACTAGGCCCAGCAAACTTCTATTAATTATTTTTACTTAGTATACCAAAGATCAAAATTTAGATGTACATGTACTTGCCATGAAGAATCGGATCCCCTTTTACCCTGAGCCAACCCATGAAATGAACAGTAGAGGTGGTCAAGATAATACTATGGTCTACATGTACATGTATGTATGTCCAGCACTCTAATAAACTACAGGGGAGTGGGATCTTTTACAACCCACCAGACACAAATCAGTGACATGACATGAAACAAGGACTATGGTATTCCATCACTATCCAAGAAGACTAGAATGTCTACAGATGTGAAACAAAACAGCACATTTTTCTCAGTTACATGTAATAAGGACCCTCAGAGTTTTGGTCCATTTGGAAATTGAACTTAAACCTATCACTTCTACAGTGTAAGAATCACATGACAGTACAGTGTACAGTGGAACGCCGATCTAATGAGGGGCCAAGGGGCTGACAAAATTTGTTCAGTATAACAAGGTTTCCTTATAGTGAGGGTTCTTTTTCAAATATTTCACTGTTACTGGGGTAAAAAAAAATCATTTGTTATACCAAGGACTTGTTATATAGAGGTTCATTATATTGAAGTTTCACTACATATATATTTGCAATTTTCAAAGTACATGTACAAATATATACATGTACATGTATGTAAAGAGGATGTAAATTACTGAGATACATCAAAACCTATAAGTTACCTCTTTTGAAACTGTCAGATCTGTACACATCCCTCAGTTCTTTCATTAACCTGTCAGTTGCTTGAACTGAGCCACATACTGTTCCCTGACATAAAAGAAACAACAAAGAAAAGATTTGAAATAAAAAAATTTGTAACTTTCAAATGATCTCTTCTTATACGGTTGTATTACAGCTCTTTTAGATAACAAGCAACCTGCGTTTTTAAAAACGTTTCAGATCTTTGGGTTTTTCTTAGACGTCAATCAAACCATTACCATAGTGTCCAATTGTGGCTTGTCAAATATTACAGCAATAATGAGCAGAAGCTGCAATTATTAAATGTTGGTGGAAATGTACCGATTTGTTTTCATCCTCCTATATCTGAGTTTCTTCTGGATTTGGAAGCTCTACATTCAAACTTGCCTCGTTTCAGTAATAAGAAGGAAAAAAAAACTTGAGAGCTAAAACTCTTAAGTTCAAAAGCAATGAACTTTGAAACACAGAAACACACAAACTGGATCAAAATCCACCAATCACAAATCACAAACCATGACCTTTTCAACCCATTGAGGTCTGCAAAGATCTGTCTGAACCGGGAAAACTGTCTAAATCAGGCAGAACAAAAACTGAATCTCTTGCAGCAATGCATGAAATGAATCTGGACAGAACAAACTTAAGTGCAAATTTACGACTGTTGACTAAATGTTTTGAACCATTGGGCACAGCTTCTTCTATGTTGTTGTAAATTCAATAAGTTTTTAATGGTGTTCTAGGCTGAAAGAACTGATGGAGAAATCAAAGAATAAAATTTATTTGCAACACAAAGTCTGCCCATTTTTGTGCCTGACTGGAAATCCCGCAAAATTTCCCAATTAATTTTCTTACACTCTGTCAGTTGAAAGCCTGTTTATTGCATTGACTGACCTTGAGATGGTCTTCTCTCCTGTTCACTCTTATCCTTTCCAATACTGCATAGTTAGCTGCACCAATCTCCTGAAGATCTTTGTTAGAATCTGTCCTGTTTAACATCAAAATAATGCCTCAGGAAATAGTAATTTGTAGTCTTTTCAACACTTTCTTGACACTAGGGGGCTTTTTCTGCTGGTCAAGCTAGTTTTTTCCTCAATTGCGCCTTCAAAATTACCCCGACATGAGCTGGTGGAAAGGTCTCTTTCAGTTGATAGCCAGCTCTTAGCAACATATCCCTGGTCAAATACATGTATCTGAATGCATGTAGTTTTAAAGGTTGCATCATGAGCTTTCAATGTAGTGCACAAAAGAAAATACTGTCAATACAATAAAACTTACTCTGTGTCTTCCTCCATTTCATAGTTATCAGAATCTTCACTGTCCTCATGCCCCTAAAAAAGATGGCTAAAATTGGCACTCCATGTATACAATCTGCAGCTGTACATGTATGTATATGTTGTAATTAACTTTTTATCTCAGGTAATTTTTGTTTTTCTTTGTTTTTGGGTATGGTTATGTATGCTAATGAAGTTGAAACAAAAGAAAAATATAAACTACCTGAGGTAAAAAATTAACTACAACATAACATTGTACTGCATTACTCAAGGCATTCAACAAATGCTGGAATTTGAAAAGAGTACGCATATCAACTCAAACTTTTTTAAAAGCTCCTTTGGTTTACAGATTATTGTGTTGATATTAAACAGCATGACCACAAATGATATTGACAGGCTAATACTGAATCATGCTGTGTGGGGTAAGGCTTGAGTAATGGCATCTGTGTCAGATGTTTCCCTTTACTCTCACTCTCCATTTTGATTTTCTCTTTGCCCTTCCCCCCAGAAACGCCAGAAACTAATACCAGAAACTCAGGGTACTTGATTCCAAGCATTCCTTTATAGCACCGCTACCACTAATAATAATAATAATAATAATAATTATTATTATTATTATTAATTACCTTATTAAAAGGGGTGGATACATGTAGCTCGGTACTGTGCATGAACAGTTGTATCTTATACAGTAAAAGGAGCCCGGAGCAAGAGACTTTCGTGTACTTGTGTCAAGGCGTTTATTTTAAGAATGATTTGATGCAAATTTACAAATATCTTTTGAGTTCCGGAGGAACCAGTCTGACAGCCAAACCTTCAGACCCAAAAATTGTATTACAATGTATTTGCTCTTGTATTGACGTTTAGTTTCCTTTTTCACATCTCATACAATTATAACTTTGAATGTACTCAAAGATGACACAGAGCAATCCCATCCATTTTCGTAGGAAAAGGTGCTGTTATTCAAGTGTATCTAAAAATAAACTGGTCGGTAGAAACACCATGACATATAGGCTTAGAATGAGAGTTGCTTGCTCCAGGTTATAAGCTCCTGACAGTACCTCTTCTAAGCCTTCATCTTCGCTTTCATCATCCTCTTGTGATGTTGTTGAGTCTTTCATCTCTACATCTTCCTGAAAATGACATTTGAAGGAAAATGAGTGACAACAAGAGAACAAAATTAGAGCACTTAAACCTGTGACCAGGCATATAAATATTCAACTGGAAGGTCATACATGTACCTTCCAAGTTAGGATAGGAGTGTGTACAATGCATACATACCCTTGAAGCTAAAACAACACCTAGAGTATGATAGGCCATTTCAGAGTTCTGAATTATTTCTTTCACTTCAAAACAAGGCTAAGTGCAAAGCCTTTCTCGTAAAAATTTTGCTTGCATGGGAATAAAGAAACATTTTCATATCAATAGCATCATACTTAGCCTCCCTTTGAAACAGATCCTTAGGGCAACTTTGAAAGGGCATGTATACATCCTGGGGAGGGGAGGCGGGTACTCCCCTATAAAAAAGACGGGGGTGCTTGTCGTACTTGGGACATGCCCATGAAACAAGATTCTGGTACATTTTACGGGGCTCGATGTTGCGACCTGTGGGGTTGCCAATGCGACCAGCTTTTACTCAGTGGTGACTAAAATTTTCATGCCTGGTCGTCAACCTGGCCCCCAAGATAGGTGACTTTCCTCTTTGGGAAAACGTAAACTAATGATAATCTGTTATCTTTTACAAAACAAATGAATAAGTAACGGTTTTTCTAACGCTCTTACGTTTTGCCCAAATGCTCTAACGGTTAGGCCTAACCCTCTAACAATTTGTCTAAATGCTTTACCGATTTCTGCGAACACTCTAACCAAGTGTTCTTATGATCTAACAGTTGGTCTGTCTAACGTTTGATTTTTACTTGAAAGAGGATAGTGACTAAATCACAAGTGATGAATTTGACGGAAGTCTTCTCAACTTCCGAGCAAATTGATCGCAATTCTCAACAGGTCGCCCCGTGTTTCTCCGGGAATGACTTTTAGCACATCAATTTAAAACAATTTCTTTATGTGAAACATGTATCTCGATTTTGGACTTGATAGCAGATTAGTCTGATAAAAATTAAGGCAATCGAGATCGAATGGCGCTTACCTCTTGAGCTTCTTGTAAACATGCAAATTTCTGTTGAGCGTAACGACCCAAATAAAAGCTCTGCCATATTTTATTGACTTCTAATGAGGTACCATTGAAAGTCATGAGAAGCACCCAATATCAATTTTCGGAAAATATCTGTTTGGAAGACGATTTGAGATCTAGAATTTTCGGAACATTTATTGAAAAAATTTCTTGCTTGCCGGCCTCTCCTAGGATTTGCGACCAGCTAAAACCTAGTATAACTGCCCATTTTTAATGCATTTTTATCCAAGAAAGGTCACCTAGAATTTTCGGGAGCCTTTTTTCTGGCTGAAATTTTCAAAAGGTAAGTTTTGACCCACATAATTTTCCGATCACTAGACTTTCAGCTAGGAAATCCAAAGAGAAGGAAAATTTTTAGGGGATAAAAATATGCCCATATCTACCATTTAAATACTAAGATACGTTCAACAATGCTATGTTTAAGTGGTTTTGAACTACATTCTCGATGGGTGCCCCTGAGTCATGCTGTTTGTCTAGCAGACTTGCGAAATCAACTTCTTTACCCGAAAGCATTAGCAATGTTTCCTTTTTCTTGAGACTTTCCATCATGTACTAGGCAACGAAATAGATCAAGTTTCACCGATGTTCATTTCTGAACATGCAAATACATGGGACGCAAAACAGATGTTTGCAGATTTTGTTCTTTAATAACCCAAATAAGTTTTTTTGTGATTCTTAAAGTTTTTTTTCTCTCAATGTGTATTCCATTGCTTGAATAACTGTTGGAGGAGATTTACGCTTGAGAGTGGACTCATTTTCCCAAACACCGGCTGGTAATCGAGCCCCGAGGGAAAACCATTCGAAAGAAAGTTCAAAGGAAGTCTAAAGCATTTTTTTGTCAAAGCTAAATAAAAGATGTTTAATTAAATTGTATACCATTAATTCTTGATTATAATTCTTGGTGACTAGAATACTTGTTCTGGTGACCAAAAAAAAGTCGCGCACTGTTTTAGGGGTGTTCTCAAAATTTTCCGACAAACACTCCCATCACTTTATAGGGGAGTACCCCATTGGGATATGCATTGAACAGTGTAGCTGTAGTTTTTCTCTTGCTTTGGTTACTAAAGATGAGCCCCAATACAAAATTAATAGAACAAGGAAGCTTAAACTACACTGTAGGAAACAATGCAAAAAAGCAAAGAAAAAAGAGATAGACAACTCCCTTTAAGTTGAGGTATGCAAGGCTACAACCAGACATTATTTAAGTTTGCAGGACTCCAAAATGGTATGCAACTCAAGTGTAGCAGCTATTTGCATGATAACAGCTTCTACTGTATAGGCACTGCTCCACCCCTACATGGTAAAAGTTAACACAAAACCTTAACAAAAGTGGTAAGGGTTATGAATAAGTATGACTACCTTTGAAAGGTATCTATTGAACCAAACATCCCTTTATCTCTTGAACTTGCCAAGAAACAGGCAATTGAAGATGATGAAATGAAATTGCATATCGAACAAGGTAGGCATGTTTAGATTGTTTTTAAACTATGAATATCATAATGTTATAATGAATATTATAACAGTTACTGGATATAGCTTTCGCATGATGTGAAAAATTATGGCGATCTCAGAGGGTGTTATCTGCCTCAGCCAAAACCCACCTCAATCTGCATTATTCTTTAGATCATACTCAGCCTCATTCAATTCAATAATTGATAATGAAAAAATAAGTGTTAAGCAATGTTGTGCCACTGTTCGAGGTGCATGTACCTGTTTTAGAAAACAGTCAGCCCTCGAGCAAGCTCTCTAGGGTCCTCTGGCAGATGGGTGGGAAAAGCAAGGAGAACTTGCAACTACGTCTTTGGAATTTGAATATCTGCATCGAAAAAGTTGATGCGAAAGAAATGCTGATTGACCAAGATGACATTAGTGATGACATCATTGCCCTTGGCACATGTTTTTCAATGTTTGTTTACATTCGTGCTGATTGGCAGAAATCTGACAGCTCAGTTGACAGGGAGCCAGAAGGGAATTGGAGGTGGAATTCAAATTCCAGAGACATACTTACCAGCTCTCCTTCCTTTTCCCACCCCACCACCACAGTGCCCCAGAGTGCTGGCTCTCAGGCTAGAAAACCATTGACAAACACCCCAACTTTTTAATTTGAATGAAGGGATGAAGGAAGGGTCCAGACTGTTTTGTCTCTGAAATGTACCTCATAATTACAAGAGAAACTCCTCCACAATTTTGTCGCTTTACACTGATTTTGATGATGTTAAGATTAATCATTGTCTTAATAGCCATAAGGGTGTCACACAGAAGAGTAAAATCCAGGTTAATGTAACTTGCATACCTGAGGCGTAAGAAGTTCCATGCAAAGTGCTC